AGGAGGGGCGGGGCTACGAGGGGATCAATATTATCCTCCTCCACCTCCGTTTCCTCGTCCATGCGTCTCTCTTTCGCTCTCACTCTCTCTTTCACTCTCTCTGTCTCTCCCTGTCCCTCTACACCCACGACTAACCTTCTCTCAGACTCCCCCTCGAAGTTCCCCTCTAGCGCGACCACCATCACCATCTCCACCCTACGAATGTCAGGTTTCTCTCCCTACCGTCTCCCACAGCCTCCTCCTTTAGCTCGTCCTTCGGTTTGTCTCTCCTTCTTCCTTCATCTTGTAAAGGACGCGAACTCGCACGAATTCACGCGAACGTTTCGCACGGAATGAACGAGATCGTTAACCTAGACGCACAAAAACGTGAAAAAAAAAATGCACGCTGCGCGTCGGGAGATTTAAATTTTTGGTGTTTACACGTCGCGATGGTGTTTTGAAATTTCTTATATTTTATCACACAAAAAAAAGAAACTAAATTTTGTGTCAATATGAAGTGAGCGTATCAGACACTTATTATATCTACCCAACTTGTATTTAACCGTAATCAAGTCACATATTCTAAAATATACGATGTATTCATAAAAGAACAACCTATTCTGAAATTACACCGATCTATTTATTAAAAAATATTTTGCAAAATTTAAAAGAGACATGCAGTAACGATTTATATAAATTTTCTGTTCATTTTATATGAATTCATGTTATTTCGTAAATTTGTAATATTGATCGAAAAACGGATTAATAAATAGCTATTTTAAGTTAATTCTATCGACAAACAGTAATTTCAAACTTTAATTCAATTTATTAATAAATTCAGTGTGTGTGCATATTTATAAACAGCGCTATAAATCGGTGCTGTAAAATTATGCCCTAGTTCGGTTAGAATATCGTCTGAAAACTGTTCCGCTTAAATAGGCCTTACTGAAGAGCCGGGGCAGTCCGGTAAGACTCGGTTGTAAGACTCTCTTGACCGAGGAACTAACGGCGCGGCATGGCGCGCAACTTCTGAGCGCAATGGAACAAATCGCGGTTACCCGGAGAGCCCGGAGCCCGATGTTAAGTCACGGGATTACCGCGGACGGGCCGGTGCGGTATTCGAGGGTGTCTCTCTATGTAGCACGTAGACGTATGTGCGGCACGGAAGACGACCATAGGAAAGAGCAACGTCGCGCCGACGATAGAATGGGACAGAGGGGGCCGTACGGGGGTGTGATTGATGAGGCATCCCCGGTCACGGTCTCATTACATTTATATAAGCTTTCGTAGATTGAGCCGAACGCGTGCGTGAGCGAGAGGAAGAGAGAGAGAGAGAGAGACCGAATGGAGGCTTACACGGTGGCGAGGGGTCGTGATTTGATGAGATTTTATTGCTCGAATGATGTGACGCGACCATTGTTCTCTGCGAGTCAGTTGCCAGGCGGAAAACAATGGATTCGATTTATCGCGTCAACTGGACTACCCTCGAAAATCGTATCTCGACGTTTTCGATTCGGGCTTTAAATCTTTTATTAAAAATTACATAACTACGGCAAACATGCAATTTTGTGTGAAAACAGATTTCATGTATCGCCGCTTGGTGAGTATTTTATGGATATTCGTCAGATTGGATTGGAAACAGCTATTAATGAGATTAACATAATATAATAATTAATTATATCATTATAAATTATTATCGGAATACACGATGTGCCCGTTTGGGGTGTATTTATGTCACAAGCGCGATTTCTCTCACGATTCACAAATCATTTCGTCGATAGTTGGAATCCAATTGGTCAAGCGATAGTTTTCACTCGAGCTTCGAGCGTACGTTCGGCGACGGATTTGTGAATCAAAAGCGTTAAGATTCTCCTGGGTCATTCCAGATAGCTTCAGTCAAGATTCCGCGACGCTGTTAAACTTTATGGGCGCGGCATCTTGTGTGTACACGCTGCGCCTTTGCGCGAGAGAGTTTATTGATTCTCGAGTCGCGGCATCTTTCGCCCGCCGTACCATTCTGTCCTATCGAATTTACTCCCTCCTGGCTTACCGTCGTCGCCTATGGTGCCGCAACTTCGTAAAATCCAATGATGTTTCTCGTGTGGCTTATCGATGCGAAAAAAATTCGCACCTACACGTATATCCCACGAGGACAGATCAAAGATAAGTCGGTCTTCATTGACAAAAACCGATAACAACGTATTAAGTGGTGTAGTAGGAATAAAAATGAGAATTATTTTTGAAAGAAATCGGTGTAAAGCTATGTGCGTGTGAATTAATGAGCTTTAAGTTAAGACTAATCGGTATTCGCAGAACCTGAATATTTTTATCAATTATACGGGGTCTACAATAGAAGTCGCAGTGGTCGTAGAATCTTAAGTCGTAGAAAATTAACCAATTATAGTCGATTGTTGTTCTCATATTTGATTGTGACTGGTTAATTTTCTACGATTTAAAATCCTTACGATTGTTACGGTTTCTATTGTAGATCCTCGTATTATATTGTGAAAAATTTTTTAATAATTTCTTCAATTTTTTACAACCTCACATAAATTTATGTTATTATATAATTTGATATTCCTTTGATCTTGACTTCAAAATAAAAAATTATTTAATTACGTTAACTTTAAGTAAAGATACATTAATTTAAAGTACATTGAACCCGCAAATACCGATTAGAGTTAAAATTCCAATTTATTTCTGCACATCTATCCATTGTCTATATATCCGTTACCTATATTGTCTCGTTAGGATTATTCCGTTACGTTATACTATGAAGGTTACTAGCAAATTCGGGCTGTTACGTAGTAAAGTTCCAGGAATAATCGTTGAGAGGAAAGGACATTATTCTTCATTAGCTAGTCTTCCGCTCCTACTTTCAATGACCCGTCGCGCCTCTTAGCGTTTCCACGGCGTGATCGTAAGGCCATCCATCTTACGGAGTATTCCGCCGACCTGCTTCACCCTCAGTACCTTTCCCCCTTTTCTTCCTATCTTACTTCCCCCTCCCCTCTACCAGCTACTCAACTCTCTCTTCGTCGAATACTTACACCACGACCCTCCGCGTATGTCGCGTTTTCCTGCCCCTTGGCTTACAGTTACGCGAGAGCGACGTGTATCTAAGCGCAACCACCCGTATAATTGTTGGGGGCGAGCAGAGACGATGAAACGGGCGTCGTCAAGAAAGAGAGGCGACATAGTCGGAGGACGCCGGGTAGGTAGGTAGGGTTTGAGGTTGAAGGGCGAGCGAAGGAATAAGGAGGGTGGAAACGGCTGACGAAGTTCGCCGTAGTATCGAGCGTGAGAGAAGGGCCGCCTTGAATTAACGCCGTCATATTTCAGGATGGAGAAGCTCGCCGGGGTTTTCTTGCTATTTGTCTCAAGACTCACCTACCACGTCTACCACAGAGCGGAACCGTCGCCCGTTGTTCTCTTCGTTGCGTTCATGACTAATAACCCATGGCGTGCGAATGTTCACGAAATCTGACAAGAAATGCTATGCATTGCTGTGTCTTCCCTCCGTTTCTTTCTCCGTTCATTCTCAATGTACGAGCTGTATACATTAAAAACAAAATCTGGGAACGGAGGGTAGCATTTGTACATCACGAAAAAAAATATCTTTTTAAAATATTGGTTATTCTAAAAATAGAAAGGAAATATCGAAAAAATATATATAATTGATATTCCTCTATTAAAGAACCCCGCACTAATTATACATACGAAAAATTAGGTCCAAGTGAAATAAATTTTCATATATGTATAATGTAGCTTACAAGGAACAAAAGATGTCACAAATACAAACTCAATAATGGACAGTTTTTAAATTATAGTTTATATCAAAGGTATATTAATACACCATAGCTCGAAAATCATCCATTATTATTAAGCCCTGTAGCGACATTTTTTCTTCATCACATTATAAGCTACATTATGTATAAAAATTAAATCATTTCACCAAGACCCAATTTTCCATATAATTACGGTCCTTTCTTAAATAACATTCTACACATTATAATTAACAGTTTCTGTTATCTATTATAAATATAATCTATGTTCTCTCTGTAATTACCGAACATAGATTGCAGAAGGAACATGATTTCGATTGAGATAACATTCAAATTTTAGACGAAAAACCTTCTTATAACAAACGATTAATTTCCGAGATGATAAATATCAAAAAAACAAAAGAACAGCTTAAACCTTCAGACTGATACCGACGGTTTACATAAATTATATGTACCAATTATAAACAAAATTTATGATACTGTCTTGATCTTATTCTTATGAAATCTTTATGAAATTTTATTTAATTTTTTGACCTCTAAATATTTACGTAGAAAATATTTCCCAAAATGGATACAAAAATATCTAGATAAAGTTATCCGTAACTCTTATCTAGAAGTGAAAATATTGGGCATTAGTCAAACTAATAATTGTTAGCACTCAGATAACGAATGTCATAACGATTACACATAGTTAAATATTTAATCGTTTCGTTCTATCAATAATTTAATTATCTGACTGTTATATATCTATTTATTATAATATTGTATCTCAATGTTATATAGACGATTTTTTTCTCTGCAAAAAGATATCCAAGACCACATTGTGTGATTTTATTGAGACGAAGATATTGCTTGTTCAATTCGACAATATTAACATTTTCTTAATCTCCTTTTTCTCTAGAACATCGGAAATAAATTTCGACATTCGATCTTTTAACCGATTTGGTAACGATTTCGCGATATCTCATAGAAGCTGTCACTTGGTCTTGTATTTTCAATATTGCTATTTATCTGAAGAGGGCACAATACAGATACCGAAATATGTAATAATTTGTACAATTTATATCTAATTTCAATATATTTATACTTATTTACTCTATTTTTAATCGTAAACCATTGACCCTTATAAGCCCCTTAATTTTTTAATTGTTTTAAACTTCAAGTTCTTTATTATCTATTTTCTAAAATAATTAATATGCACATTTTTCTCGCAACGCTCTGTTTTTCTCTTTTTAGGTCTGGTTCAAGAACAGGAGGGCGAAATGGCGGAAGAAGGAGCGTAACGCGATGAATGCCGCCGCGCAGGCCGCAGTGGATTTCAAGTCGGGCTTCAGTACAGCCAGTTTGAACGGTTTCATCACCCAACCGTTCCCGGATCCTGACACTCTCTACAGCTCGTATAGCACGTACAACAACTGGGCGGCCAAAGTACCATCGCCGTTGAGCGGCAAGAGCTTCCCCTGGATGAACACTCTGGGCTCAGTCGTGCCTGCGGCATCGCATCATCATCATCACGCTCAGGTCAGCCCAGTGAATCCCTTTAACGCTGCAGCGACGTCAGTCGCGGGCAGCCACGTGGGCGGCATGTCAGTTTCGGTCGGCCAAGCGGCTACGTCTATGTTGCCGGGCATGGGCTCTGGTCTCGGGGTCGCGAGCTCGCCGGTCGCTGCGTCCGGCGCGGCGTGTCCGTACGCGGCGCCGGCGGCACCACATCATCCATATGGACCGCCGGTTTACACGCCTCACCATCGTTCGCCCGAATCCTGTACAGTGATGACATCGAGTAGCATCGCGTCGCTACGAATGAAGGCGAAACAGCATAGCAGTGGTTATGGCGGCGGTGGTGGCGGCTCTTTCGGCGCAGGTGGTACCGCAGGCGGTACCACAGCCGGAAGTATAAGCCCCGTTAGTTCGAGAGCGTCTTCCGTCGGTGGTGGTGGTGGTGGTGGCGGCGGTGGTTTGAGCGCCTGTCAATATGCGTTAACAACAGCGGCCGGAGCAAACCCTCATTCTCCGGGCGGTCCCGAGGCGCACGCTAACGCCACTGCCAGGGCCCAGGTCTGAGGCGAAGCGGGGGCTACGTCTAGCCCCCATCATCACAGTGTAACGAATCCTAACTCGGGGAGTTCCCTTAGCGGCGGCAGCAATCAAGTGGTGCCTACATCCGCCACTGCGGCGGGCGCTGCTACAGGTCAACCGAGCGACAATCAGCTCAGATCGCAAGAGTGACCCAGGCCTAGGTCCGCCGCCTCGCCGACGCTATCGTCGACGCCCTCGTCGACGACCTCGCACCCGCATTACCTCATGTACGATGAGGACGGGGCTACGGCGGACCAAAAGATGGAAGTGGACGAGCGAGGTGTTATCGAGGCGAGTAGCATGGTGAATTCCGAACAGGTGGTAGCAGCTACTACCGGCGGTATCGGCGTGGGAGTCGGTGTAGGAGGACCAGGTACGGCCACTGGAACTGGTACCGGATTGACTGGTTACTGGCAACACGCGACTACCGCCACCGGCTACTGGCCATCGTTGTTCGACTGTTGGACGACGCCACCGATCGCATCCGGTTCGCAGACGCTGTCTTTACCGCGGGATGACGATTGAGGCCAGTAGAATTTTATCGACTACTCATGCGTTGGCGCTGTCCTGATTCTCTCAATTTATCGCGAAATCTCGTTTTGTTTCATTAAACATGGAATGTTTGATCTAAACGAATATGGTTCAGAGATATCACATTTATATTTCCGCCGAAAAGCGCAGAAACGATTTCATTGTAGTTAATTAAAAATATATAGTCGAAATGACTTCTTCACATGCCTTTATAAAATTCATAAGTATCGAATGCGAAGTCACTTATTGTGTGTGAATGTCCTGTAATTAGTTAATACTTAATTGAAATTGAACGATGCGATGCAAATTTCGTCGCACAATTGGAAATATTTTATTTGCGAGCTTTTAATTCCTCTGACAGCTAATAATCTTCAATTTCGAGATCTTCGTAAAAATTGAGGGTAAAGCAAAAGGGTAAAGAACCAATGTCTGTCACAATAAAAGAATTGACAGAACTCACAGTTGAAAATATTTGGTTACGTTGTAAATACACAATATTATGCGAGTAATCGGCTACGTTGGACGCAATCGGCAAACTGCAAGTTCCACTAGTTCGATGAACTCACATATTCCTCAAGACAGATAAAAGTTAATGGAGTACAAATGTTAAACTTTCGCCGCGATGAAAGATATATTTAATCCCCCTTCCTTATTTTCATTTTAGTATTTTTAATTTAACAATTATGTTTATTATTCAATTACGATGCTAAATATACATTGCGATAAAGCAACGAAATAGTATCATCACACGGCGCTGAAAGAAACGAGAGAAGAAGCTTTCTCTGAAAGAATTATATAACGTAAACGTGCTAATTGTACGCGCTGCTTTAATAATTTTTTCCTGTGTAAAATTTGAGGAATGGGGGTTAACTTGTAAGAACAACGGCGCTAACAAAGATCTCTCGCGGATCACGTACTCACTATTTTGTAGATATATGTATAGTAGAACGCCGGATTTTTATGCCGAGCGTAACTGTATACCAAAAATTGTTATATTGTAATGACGATAATAACGATTATTCAGCAGAACACTAAAATATTATAGGCTGTAAGTAAGCGGATTGTGCATTGTACAGTGTATGGAGCAAAGAAGTATCCTATCAATTAGGCGTACGTTATAAATCTGAATTAGTATTGTCGAATAATTACTAAAACAATATTCACAGTATCCTCGCGCGGCGCGTGCAATTGGATTTTTCAAGTCCGTCGATTCCTCTTCCTCTTCGTACTCATATCGTTCCAAAGACAGTGTTTAACTTATACGTATATACCCTTGATTGTGTAACTAGAGAGGCGTTAACGTAATCAACGAAAATGTCCTATTTTTATAAGTAGCTTATTATTTGATAGACCACGCGTTGTGAGACAACAAAAACCAAAGCTAAACCCAAAAAATATCACGTATGTATAGTAATTATGCCGCGCGTTGAGGCTACAGAGATAATTGTATAAATTATTACACATAACGGGGGAGTGTGGTGGTGCGTCGGGGAGATTTTGACGGGGTTAAACGACGACGAGACACGGCGCGAAACGACGGTCGGCTTCGGAAAAGTCGACATGCGAGCGGCCGATCGCCATAGAGCTCGAGGTATAGTCACGTAAGATAGGCGTAAGAAACGACCGCTATTTTGTATGAATCCCAATGTCGTACAAATGTTCGTCGTAATCACATATCCCAGTCCCTGCGGTGAGTGATTCGTAACGTCACGCAGAATGTTCTTCATTCCCGTTTGTCACCTCACTCGCTACGTGTAAACGTTCCTACTGGGCGATATTGAGCGCCATAAAAGGCCCCGTTTGTAATCTAGTCACAATAAAAACCAATTCTATTCTAAAACAATGACTCGGAAACTATATCCCCTACCCGTGCGAGAAGAGTTCGCCGATAAGATTACGTTTTTTATTTCGTACTAACTTGTTTTACGTTCTAGCTGGGTTTTTTTTTGGTGATTTTAAGATCGGTCGTCTTTTTTATATTTAAACTTTACAAACGCCAAAGTAAAACAATATCATATTTTAAGGCAATAAATATAATGAGAAATATGGATTATAACCGATCTTATGCAAGAAAAACTATAACATTTTAAAAATAGATCCCCGTGTCTTTTAAAGATTAATGAACCTCGTAAAAGAGGGTACGATTTTTTTGTGACTATTCGGACTCGTTTTATTTTTACATTTTCTTATGTATTTTTCTTCATAGGAACCAAAAATTATAATAATAATATATCTTTTAATACAGTGAAGTAAAAAAATCCTTATTCACATTACGCAATCGCTATCTCAGTTATGTTTCAAACATTTAAAATTGGCTCAACAAATGAAGCATAATTGAGATAACGATTTCGTAACGATGTGTGTGTGAATAAAGATTTTATTAACTTTATTCCAAACACGTTATATGCCAATTGTTCTTTGAATTGTTGATTCAATTCAACTGTGAATTAATTTTGAATTGATTAAAATATAATTGATAGCAATTTCGTAACAATGTCACTTTATTGCAATGTACCAATTTTTTCTTGTGTGAATGTAGTATTATTATTATAATAATTCTTTGTTTCCATGAAGAAAAATTCTCATAAGAAAATATAGAAATAAAACGATTCTTAAACGATTACGAAAAAGTAAAAGTTCTACTATGCTTATTTAGATAAAAGTAATTATATTTGCATCGAAGATAAAAGCAGAGGTGTGGAAATATAGCCGATACTTTCGCGTATCGCTCTTCGTGCTGTCAAAATACAAAATAGAAGACTTCATTCGAAGTGGGGAGATGTTGGGCAATGAATGCCGATACATGATCGTGCTATTTATAGGTAGTTAGTTATACCCCTCGGACATTGAGGGAGCATCGATAACCTACGCGAAGTCCACATGCATGCCAAGCGTGTAACGTATTGCATTACGGTGGTCGGGACGTGGCGATAAATTATGCACCCTCGGCTGGCACGCGAAGGGTCGATTGCACGCTGGGTCGCAACTCACCCTCATGTGCTAAACTAAACTAAACGTATATTACAATGATCGTGGCATCGTTAATGGCGCAGCAGTTATAAGATGTTGCACAACCCCGTATGTTTCCCTATTATATGCACGGCAGTCGCGCATTAAGAAAGCCATCGGCTTTATTACGATTCGGTGAATAATAACTTTCGAGAAGTAATGCGTTAATTATATCTATTAATTACATTGATTACTATTTAATGGTTGGTTCATATTATTACTGCAATACACAGAATATGGCTTATTGTCGTCAGATTTAATTATATTGTAAATACAACGTTATCGTATTTTTTTTAAATTTTGGTAAGATTTTATCACGCTGCTTAAAAATTTTCTTAATTACGAGTCCAATGTACAAAGAAGCGTTTTATCTCTTCGCCAACTTATCTTCTTCCGTAATCTTATCATTTATAAGGCGCACGACACTTGTCTAAAAAAAAATCTCAGAGAGCACTCCTTTAAAACTTCATTATTTACAGTTAGAACGATTAAAAAATAACTTTTTTTTCTTTATCTATATAAACTCTTTCAATATTTGATGATATGTTGACGGAAAATCACTTTTCTTCTCGTACGTGTATTAAACATATTTCAATCATTTATTTCTATCTGATTTCGCTTTAAAAGAGAATATACGTGGAAAAAACGATTTTGCTGAAGTATCTAAAAATTTAGCTATAGATACAAATCTGAAAATAATTTTGTTGAATCATCAAAACATTTGTATAAAATACTTAAATAATTATGTAAAAAGTTTAAACATTGATGGTAAAGTGCTATAAAAAGTTTTAACATTCTAGCAAGTTTAGTGTCCAACATAATTATTTTGATAGTTTAAACAAAATTATTTTCAGATCTAGCTAAATTTTTAGATACTTTAGCAGTCATTCCTTGCTTTGTTTCATAAATTTAAAAAAAGGCAACAGTAATGGCAATTATATATAGATATAAGTGACAAAGGTATTATTTATAGAATTAATGTAGAATGTACATATATATAGTTTAATAGACTATTTTATAATTATTGTAACCATAAAATAGTTTCTTCAACTATTATGTACATTATTAATTCTATTGTACATAATATAAAATTTATACATAGTTAAACATGTACCTTAATAACGACCAATAAACGAGCAAAATAGAATGTTGAATTGAAAGATATTTAATATATATTTAAAACATAAAACTAAAATTATTATATATTTTAATAATTTTGATAAACTCTCTCTCTCTCTTCTCTAAAATAATAACTTTAATAAAATTATTATATTTTTTTATTTGTTATTATATATAGTTGTCATCTGTATGTATAGTTGCCACCACTCTGTACATTAAATTAAAGTTATCGGCTTGATATTTCGATGAAATTTTTAACCGCGCGATACTAGATCTCGTGAGAAGAAATAAAAAGAGGAGTCTTCTCTCCACCGTCCTACTTTCTT